CCAACCTCCTCCCTTCCCCCTCCGGGGTCGCTCCCTCCCCATCCTCCCCACCACTCCAGGTCACCTCCGAACGCTGCTGCGCTGCGCACACTGGCGGGACCGCTACGATCCGCTCAGGAAAAGCACGGCGTAGCGCACTGCAGAGCCAGACCTACCTCTTGCGTAGCGGTCCCAGGCCGGTTCCAGCCGCCAGGAGCTCGGAGCGATGGCGTCAGCTCAGACTGCGCTTGCGCGCTGGGCCTGCGCGGCGGACTACGACCCCCAGAGGGCACTTGGCCATCCCCCAGGGTTGGGGCGGAGCGAAGATGCAACGGCTGAAAGGACTGCCAATCAGAGGCAGAGCTAGCCTCGCTCAGCATCTCGCCCCCCGTGCGCCTGCGTCTTTTTCGATCCATAGCAACGCGGTAAAACAGGTGGAGGGGGAAAAAAAAACAGGTGGGCGGGGGGGGGGGGGGCGGAAAAATACCGCCGGGAGAGACTGAGGCAGTGAGAGACACAGACTAGGAGACACAGCGACAGGGAGTGACAGAAACCAGAGGACCCAGGGCTCCGCATATCCAAAGATGGAGAAATAGGGACAAGGAGTCCCAGAGTATCAGAGATGGTGGGATAGAGAGAGGAGGGTAAAGAGACAGGGGGAGGTGAAAGGCAGAGGCACGGTGAAAGGGAGAAAGATCATGAAGGGGAGGTCCAGGGGCGCCTGAGTGGCTCAGTCTGTTACGCTTCGGACTCTTGGTGCCAGCTCAGATCATGATCTCACGGTTGGTGGGATCGGGCCCCGTGTTGGGCTCTGCACTGAGGGCATGGAGCCTGCTTCAGATTCTCTCAGTACCTCTCTCAAAAAAATAAACTTAAAAAAAAAAAAAAAAAATTTTTTTATTAAAAAAAAAAAAAAAAAACTCTTAAAATTAAAAGAAAAAAGGGGGGGGTGGAGGTCCAGGGGCACCTCAGTCAGTAGACCACGCGACTCCATCTTGGGGTCGGGTCGTGAGTTCAAACTCCACATTGGATGTAGAGCCTACTTTTAAAAAAAGAAGGGGAGGTCCAGAGACTGGGAGACTCAGATATGGATAGAGACCCAGAGACAGTGAGAAAGTCAGGGATAGACTGAAATAGGTAGACCCAGCGTTGGGAAAACAGACCCAAAGACAGGAGACTAAGCTAAGAAGACCCAGAGAAGGTAAAAAGCGGAAACGTGGAGACAACAGAGATGGAGAGGCTCGGAGCCCGAGAAACAGCGGTGGGGACACACAGAGACAGAGGTATGAAGGCACTGATTGGTTCTGCAGATCCAAGGAACTGATAGAATTTGAAGACTAGCCATGCTGGGGGCTTCAGGAGTCATTAAAATGGTGGGGAATGTAATAGAGGCAACTGTGGTGAGTGATGTGCTCAGAAGGCCAAAGTGGATGCTGCCACTCCACTATACAGCATAGACTGGACAAAGGTTAGGACGCTGCTTCTCATTCCAGAATCTTCTAAATAACAAGAATTAATAAGACTGGCATTTTGTGTAAACTTTATTTTTTACAATGTGTATCTAAACAGTTTATTTTAAATATTTTACTTAAATACAACAACACATTTTTGGGGCATTCAGTTCTATCAATTTTAACTTGTATATCGACCAACACAAAACAAAGAATAGATCCACTGCAGGCAAACTCCTCCCCCCCCCCCGTTTTTTTTAATGAGCAGCAGGCAAAAGTTTATTAGAGTATAAGATCAGAAATTAAGACTAGGAACGCTCACTTTATAGGGAGGGGGCATGGAAAGTGAATGCCCAAAAACAAACTCCTTCCTGATGCTCCCCCGGCCCCAACCCTGGCAACCACTGATCTGTTTTCTGTGGTTATAGTTTTGCACCTTCCAGAATTTCACATAAATAGAATCTCAGAGTAGGTAACCTTTTGAGATTTGCTTTTTTTAGTGAAAATAATTCCTTTGAGATCCATTCAAGTTGTGTATATCAATAGTTCTTTTTTATTGCAAAGTAGTATTCAGTGGTTTGGATATACCACAGTTTTTTCAAACATTCACCCACTGAAGGACATTTTGGTTGTTTCCAGTACTTTGTTATTACAAATAAAGCTGCAATGAACATTAGTGTAAATGTGTGTGTGTGAATCTTCATAAGTCTTCGTTTCTCTGGGATAAATGCTCAAGAGTGCAACTGCTGGGTTATATGGCAAGCGCATGTTTAGCGTTGTAACATACTGCCATACTCTTTTCCAGAATAGTAGAACCATTTTACATTTCCAGCAAAACTGTGTGTGTGAACAAGTTTTTCCACATTCTTACCAGCATTTGGCATTACCATTTTTTTTGTTTTATTTTTTAAAATGTTTAAGTAATCCCCACAGCCAATGTGGGCCTCAAATTTATAACCCCAAGATGAAGAGTCATACACTCTACTAACCAAGCCAGCCAGGCACCCCAGTGTTGCCATCTTTTTATTTTAACCATCCTTATAGATGCGTAGTGACATCTCATGTTGCTTTTAATTTGCATTTCCCTAATAATTATGAATGTTGAACATATTTTCATGTTTGCCATCTGTATATCCTCTTCAGTGAAATGTCTGTTCATGTCTTTGGCCCATATTTTAATTTTTAAAAAACTGTTGAGTTTTGAGAAACATTTATTTAGAACATATTATTTAGAACATATATATTTATATATTTTTATCTATTTAGAACATATTCTAGATATGTTCTTCATCAGATATATGGTTTGCAAATGTCTTTTCTCCTAGTCTGTAGCTTGTCTTTTTATTCCCTTAACAGGGCCATTAGCAGACCAAAGGATTTTAGTTGAGATGATGTCTTAATTTGTCACTTTTTCCTTTAATGGATCATGCTTTTTGTGTCAAGTTTAAGAACTCTTTGCTTAGCCCCAAGGATTTCCTCCTATATTTTATCTAAAAGCTTTATGTTTTACTTTTTACATTTAACTCAATCATCATTTTGACTTAAATTTTGTACAAGAGGTAAAATTTATGTTGAAGTTCATTTTTTCCCCTATGGATATTGGGCATCTTTTTTCTGACACTAATTCTAACACCAAATGTGCAGGTTTTTTCCAATACCAACCAATTCTCCAACCCAACTGGATGTCCAACAATTCAATCCTGAGAGTACCCAGAATTAGTGCAAACTTCACAGGTCAAGGGCTTAGTCACACAAGACTGTTTTCACTTCAGATGATGGCCATAGGCTACATACACTTCTGTTAAGTTGACTACAAATTCACTGGTTCCCTGGTACCCACCTCGGGTTCAAGTATTCACTAGAATGACTCACAGAACTTAAGAAAACACTTTGCCTATGTTTACCAATTTAGTAATAAAGGATGTAACTTAGGAACAACCAAATGGAAGCGATGCATAGAGCAAGGTTTGGGAAGGTGGGGCGGTGTCTACAAATCTCCTTTGCATCCTCCAGGAATGTCTTCATCTCAGCACATCAGTGTGTTCACCAGTCCAAAAGCTCTCTGAATCTCCTTGTCCACCAGTTCTTATAAACAAATCTCCAGCCTCCCTCCCCTCCCTAGAGATTTAGATGTGGGGGCTGAAAGTTCCCACCTTCCTTCTGGTGATGCTTCCCCATGCTGAAGCTTTCGAGGAGTGCCAACCCAAGTCACCTTATTAGCATAAACTCAGGTGTGGTCAAAATGGGCTCTTAATGAATGACAAGACACTCCTATCACTCAGGAAATTCTAGGGGTTTGTTCCAGGAATGAGGGACAATGACCAAATACATGTTTTGTTATATCACAGATATCCAACTGCTCCAATACCACTCATTGAAAAGGCTATCCTTTCCCCATTGAATAGTTTTGCACAATTGTCAAAAATCAGCTAAGCATGGTTGGTTTTGTGGGTCTGTTTTTGGGTTCTCTATCCATCCCATTGACCTATGTGTGAACCAAAACCACTCTTGGTTACTGTGGCTAAATAGTAAGCCTTAACATCAGTTATTCCTCTCACTTTTCTTCTTTTTCAAAAATTGCTTTTGGGGACACCTGATGGCTCAGTCAGTTAAGCATCCAACTCTTGGTTTCACCTCATGTCATGATCTCATGGTTTGTGAGTTTAAGCCCTGCATTAGGCTCTGTGCTGACAATGTGGATCCTGCTTGGGATTCTCTCTCTGCCCTTCTTCTGCTCATGTTCTCTTTTCCTCTCAAATAAACTTAAAAAAAAATTTGTTCCAAAAACAATTGTTCCAAAAACATTTTTTTTCTATTCTAAGTCTAGTGCTTTCCCATATCAATTCTGAAATAAGCTTGTCTAGGGGTGCTCGGGTGGCCCAGTAGGTTAAGTGTCTGACTTTGGCTCAGGTCATGATCTTGCAGTCTGTGAGTTCGTGCCCTGCATAGGGCTCTGTGCTGACAGCTCAGCGGCTGGAGCCTGTTTCAGATTCTGTGTCTCCCCTTCTCTCTGTCCCTCCCATGCTCATGCTGTCTTTCTTTAAAAAAAAAAAAAAAAAAAGCTTGTCTACGTCTACAAAAGATCTTGCTGGGACTTTGATGAAAATTGTATTTTGTACACTTTTTATATGTTTTCTTGCCTAATTGCATTGGCTAGTACTTCCAATATGATTTCAGTAGCAGTGGGGGTATCTGTCATCCTTATGTGTGGTTCACCATAATGATGTTGGCTATATGTTATTTACATATGCCCTTTTCAGATTAAGGAAATTCCTCTTTATTCTTAGTTTGCTATCATTATTATGAAAGGATAATGAATTTTGTAAAGGTTCTGTCTGCATGTATTTGTGAGATCATGCAGTTTTTGTTCTTTAGTCTGTTAATACGATGGGTTATATTTACTGGTTTTCAAATATTGAAACAGCCTACATTTCCAGGATAAACCCCCTGGTCATGTTGCATTGCTGCTCTTCTATATTACAGAATTCAATTTGCTGATATTTTAATGAGAATATCTGTGTTTATATTCATGAGGGATATCACTCTGTAGTTTTCTTGTCATTGTCTGGTTTTAGAATCCAGGTAATGCTGACCTTATAAAATGAATCAAGTGTGTCTGCCTTTTATTTTCTGAAAGTGTGGAACTGGCATCATTTCTTCCTTAACTGTTGGGTGGAATTCATCAACAAAACTATCTGGGTCTGGCAGTTCTTTTGAAAAAAACAAAAAAACAAAAAACATCAACTTCTTCAACAGATATAAGCCTATTCAGTTTACTAGTTTACTTGTACAGTAAATTTTGATAGTTTGTCTTTTAAGAAATTGTGCCCCTTTACCTAACTTATTGAATTTATGAACACAGAATTGTCCAAACAGGACTAGGTTTTTTGCAACCTCTGTGGGATGGAAATATACCACAATGGAATGAGCACTGGGTAACATCTTCCATCTCATCCCAATATATGCCATTACTCTGGGGGCACACCTACCCAATGGTCAACCCATCAAGACCTCATCTTCTCAGTGCCTAGAGCTTTGCCTCCACTTGTGTCAGGCATTCATACACACTCCAGCCGCCATCATCCACATTCTTGAGATTCTAGCCCTCTTGTCCTCCTGCCCAGGTAGCTTCTTCAACTCTACCCACCTTGGGAGGCCTCCAGGCAATCATGTATACCAGAGTTTGGGAAGCAATGCCATCTATGAACTATGGGTGATATGGTTGTTGGGAAGGCCACTGGTGAACCTTCTATTTTAGCCTCCCGAGTCAGAGAAGAGTAACATCAATGTCATCGCCATTAACAGCAATAGCAACAAAATCAACAACAATAACAAAACATCAACAACACGAGCAGCAGTAATAATAAGAGAACAATAATAGCAACAAGGGTGTGAACATGAGCACAGAAGCAACCAATACACACTAAAAACTGTTACATCCCAGACCTTCTCCACACCTAACTTCTCTTAATCCAAATGAGCTAGGGCTTGTCTACATTTTATAAATGAGGAAGTAAGGCACAATAATTCACCTAGGGGCACCTGGGTGGTTCAGTTAGGTAAGCGCCCAACTCTTGGTTTCAGCTCAGGTCATGATCTCATGGTTTCATGAGTTGGAGCCCCACACTGGGCTCTGTGCTGACAGTGTGGAGCCTGCTTGGGATTCTCTCTCTCCCTCTCTTTCTGCCCCTCTCCCACTCACATGGTCTCTCTTTCAAAAATAAACTTAAAAATAATGTTTAAAGAAAAAATAATTCACCTAAGGTCACAGAGCTATTGAGATGTAAACGCATGAGAAACCCAAGGATGACTGAAGTCAAAAGATGCACTCTTACCCATGACACTAACACTCACAGGGCATGGTCCTGGTCCAATGTTTTCATGCAATTTCATACAATTTTTCTTCAACTGGGATTGCATATCTTGTACAGGCCTTCTGAGCAACCAAGGGTTTGCTACTTAAATGAACACTCATTGACAATCAGGCACAGTGTTTTCTTTTATAAACAAAAAGTCCAAAGTGCAACCATGCATACACATGATACTGTACAGAGGATATTTCAATATATAAGTTAGAACAGAAGCCCTATGAAGGCAAAAAATTCTCTATTTACCAGCTTGTTAAAAGCTTATGTATAGTTTTGCATATTGCCTCCCTCCACATTGTAATAATTTTCAACCTTACAATAAAAGATAACAGTTACAACTAATACAGGCTACAAGAAAGAAATTAGGTAACATTTAATATCCAGCAATGGAGGAGGACTATATCACCCTCTCTTGCTCCCACAAATATGCCATTAATTGTTACCTCAGTAACAGCCTTTTCCTTCAAAGCTCTAGTCTTTCCTCAAAGGGATCAATCTCACTAGTCATTCAGTTTTTCTTCCTTTTGATATTACTGTTATCAGAGAACAATTAATGGTAATATGCACATCTTATGTGTTTCTAAGGAAAAAAGGCTGCCAATTAACATACAGCATGCCATTAATTACCCTGATCTGTCAAAATGTCAAAATGAAAAGAACATGTATATTAAAATAAATTAAATACTGTGACTCAAATTCTGTGTCAGGACTAACTTCCTGGCACACATTTTTCCCTAGAATTGTGTTAAAAACCTGATTGTGGATTTGTAATGGGATGAATGTCCTATACTGGGTGTTTCCTCCAGAACTCATTCTCTGATGCACTAGTTGTGCTGCCCAACGAAGTAGTCACCAGATGTGCAGACACACAGAATTAGAAATGTAACGTGTGCCATATGTTTAAATGATAGTATCTGGGATATAGGTGGGTAGAATAAAATGTTATTGACATTAATTTCACATGTTCCTTTTTGTTGTTTTTTTTTTTTTTTTTTAATGTGGCCACGTGGGGCACCTAGGTGTCTCACTCAGTTGAGCAACCAACTTCTGCTCAGGTCATGATCTCATGGTTTGTGAGTTTGAGCCCCGCATCAGGCTTGTTGCTGTCAGCCTGTCAGCGCAGAGCCTGCTTTGGATCCTCTATCCTCCTCTCTCTCTCCCAAAACATTAAAAAAAATTGTTTTAATTAAAAATGTGGCCACTAAAAACAAAATTGAACTTATGTATGTGGTTCACATATTTCTATCAGACAGAGCTACTCTGGAAGATCAGATCTCCAACTGAAAGCTTTCCCATGTAGACTATATGTTGGCTGTCTGTCTCAGGTCTAAGATGTCTTACCACACAAAGGTTAACATCAACTTACTTTTCAATATTATCACTCTATATTGGCTAGTACAAAAACTCATATTTTCTACCCAAGAGTTTTGGCAAGAGTTCTTACCAAAACCCCAACTCTTCACATTAACCAAATCTTCTGATACAAGGACAGGCAAGAATTCAAATTTAAAAGTAACCATAGCAAAAGAATTCTCCCAATTTCTTATGCAGACACAATGTCTCAAAAGTTTCTGATCCAAGGAGGAAAGGATGAACTCCACTATTTTCAAAGAGCTGCTCATCAATATGAAGTCTCTGACAATGAGTAAGTAAAGGGAATCTGATAGAGCTCTGTCATATTCACTGAATCCCCCACAGGTGTCTCTTTAGTGTGATAATTCCCATGTCTAATAAAAGCATACCTATTCTGGAAATTTTCCCCACATTTGAAACACTGGTACAAGGTCTCCTGAGCATATATCTTCTGGTGTTTGTCCAGAACGCAGCTGTCCCAGAAAGTTTTGCCATACTGACTGTTCTCACAGGGCTTCCCACCAGTATGAGTCCTCTGGTGCTGAATGAGACCAGTGATATTCCTGAAGTTTCTGACACTGGTTATAGCCATACGGCTCCTCAATAGTATGCATCTCTGGTGCCAGAGCACTCAATGAGAGTTAAGAGCTCTCAATGAAAGTTTTCCCACATTCTTTACAGTCATAATGTTTCTCTCCAGAATGATTTTTTTCAAGATTTTATTTACTTATTTTTGAGAGAGAGCACATGCGCACATTGAGCATGAGAGGGGCAGAAGGAAGAGAGATAATCTCAAGCAGGCTCCTGCTGCGGGGCTCAATCCCACAACCCTGTGATCGTGACCTGAATCCAAATCAAGAGTTGGAACTCAATGGACTGAGCCACAAAGGCACCCCTAAAGATTTTAAGTAATCTTTACACCCAAATTGGGGCTCCAACTTACAACCTGAGATCGAGTCGCATGCCCTACCAACTGAGTCAACCAGGAACCACAGAATGATTTTTTTTTAATGCACAATGAGGTGACCACTGCAGTTGAAGGATTTTCTACAATCCACATACTTTCAGGATCTCTCTCTGGTGTGACTTCTCTTATATTTAATAAAGCATGAGATATCAGTGAAGGCCTTTCCACACTCCATAATACACAGGGCTTCTCTCTTGTGTGAATTCTTAAATGGGCAATAAGGTAGTAGATATTGGAGACATTTTTCACACTCATATCTATATGGTTTTTCTCCAGTATGAAATCTGTGATGCAAAACAAGGGAAGAGTAGTGGCTGAAGGACATCCCACAGTGGTTGCACTCATGGGGGTTCTCCCTTGTGCAGGTCCTCTTGTGATTGATAAAGGCAGAGATGGCACTGAATGCTTTCCCACAACTATTGAATTTATAAGGTTTCTCTCCTGTATAGATTCTTCAATGCACAATCAGGTTGTAATTCTTGGAGAAGGATTTTCCACAGTCAGTACAAGTATAAAATCTCTCCAGTATGAGTCCTCAGGTACCAAAGAAGTGAGATTTCTATCTGATGGATTGTCCACATTTGTTGAAGTCATGGCATTCATCTCATTATTTCTCCTCTGCTCATGAGAGCCAGTGCCCCGATCAAACACTTCATCACATACCATCCCTTTGTGTGGCTGCCTTTCTCCAACAATTATATCCTGTTCAGTAAGAGGTACAGAATGGTTGTAAAATCACCACTTTTGTTACAACTGGAGGGCCCATCTCCTGTTAGATTTCCACCAATGTGGCCAAGTTGACCAACTTGACTGATGGCTATTCTACAGTCATAATTTTCATCAAGTGTGTGACCTTCACTATATGTGTGTGTGTCTGTGTGTGTATTTATATGTATATTTACATTTATTTATATTATATATATCAGGAATGCTTACCATCTGAATCATGTTCACAGAAAGCTTCTGTTGCAGGACCTTTCTGAGACAGAGCAAAGACCGAGCAGGGGCAGTTGCGTGGCTCAGTTGGTTAAGTGTCCAACTCTTGATTTCAGCTCAGGTCATGATCTCGTGGTTCTCTGGAATGAACCCCATGTTGGGTTCTGTGTTGACAGCACAGAGTCTGCTTGGGATTCTCTCTCTCTGCCCTTTCCCTGCTCATGCTTTCTCTTTCCCTGTCAAGATAAATAAACTTAAAAAAAATAGACTGAGCAGACACCCATGCTTTCTCCATATTCACAACCACCACAGCCTCTCACCAAACCCACTGTGTTCTATTGGGTGGATGCTGTTTGCATCAAATGCTTCTCTGGGTTTTTGTGAAGCATTTCTACCTGTTCCTCACATTCCCATTTTTCTCCTAATGCATATAAACAGGAATAATCCTTCATGAATCTTTCCATCATCAGGAAATTAAGTGGTTCCACTCCAACAACATCCTGCCTTGATGCTTTCATTTTGACCTTTGTTTTCTTTTCTTTTTTTTTTTTTTAACTTTTTAAAATGTTTATTTACTTCTGAGAGA